TTAATGTCCTGTTGTTCTAAAGTAAAGTACCAGGGTGAATAACTGAACAGAGATGGTTCTGTTCAGATGGTTCCAGTCTGCCTTGTTAAATGCGTAATTTTCTTTCGTTGAGATCCGTTGTTGGTAGGGGCGAGTGTTTACGATGAATGTTATTGAATTATGGTCAGAGAATGGTTCACCGACTTCCAAGTTATTTATCAGGTCGCTGTTTGTCGTCAGTACTAGGTCTAATATGTTATTCTCGCGAGTAGACTCATCAACCATTTGGTACAAGAAATTGTCATGAATTATATCAGACAGAAGGTAATGATGCTCAGATGATTTTGTAGGATGGCTCGTAGACCAATCAAATTCACTTAAGTTAAAATCGCCAGTGACGAGAAGATCTGTGGTTGTAATCGAAGAAAGACATGACCGAAGGTCTTCCAAAGGCTTCAAGTCACTATTAGGTGGCCTATAAAATGTTCGAATCGTTAATTTCTTCTCGCCGTCCGTAATTATATAAACAAAGAGTAACTCGGAAGGCAGATCATGATGTTCTCGTATCGAGGTGATCAAGCCTTTTTTCGCCGCGATCAAAACACCACCACCATGTCTAGTTCGGTTGCCGGCGCGGTCTTTCCGGTAGACAGTATAATCGCTGCCGATGACCTCCTCACTTGAAATTGAACAGTCTAAATGTGTTTCAGTTAGGACAACGATATCCCCTTGACTATTAGCCAGTTTCAATTGTAGTTTGGCAACTTTGTTGACAATGCTCCTTGCATTTGTGTAGAATACCTTCAACTTCGAAGTGTGACCCTGTCTTTGAGGTCGAGTCGAACATTCAGGCACGTAACCAGGATTAGTTTCTACATCGCCGCTGCATAGAATCATATAAACAGCTGGATTAAAAGCACAAGAAGCATTTGAGTAGTATTTAATACGCCTCGAGAGAAACTTTGAACGCTGGAGCCTCCCAAGTTTTCGAAAGCCACCACGTGGAACGACAACGAGCACTCCAACGTCGACATTCGTTCTGAAAAATACTTGTGGCCGAAAAACAATCTCTCCAGATTGTGCACCATGGTAATAATGATCGAGGAAGCCATTGTGAGGGGGCAAATTGCACAGAGAGGCACAGAATATCGCCCGGAGAGCAGAAGTCGCTAGATCATAACCATCCGCTATGTTGGACACCATTAGCCCAACTCATAATGGACGAAAATACACCAAACTTGCTCACATGATTGGACATGATCCTCCCTGTTGATTTATGTTAATTTACATAGGTTACGTGACCTTACGCATGAAAGCCAGGCTGGAACACGTAATTTTCCATAAATTTGTCAAAAAAAATCCTTATCATGCCAAACTTGCTCACCTTAGTCAGTTAGACATCTTGCATCGATTGGTGCCACTTTGTAGTGTCACGTGACCCCATACATGGAAACGAGGCTGGATATATCTGGTAGCATCGTGTAGGATGGCATTTGTCTTGCCAAATGTATTAACAACTACTAGGCAGATACATATCTGGTTATCCGAGTTCAGATATAAAAACTTCAACTAATCATTGTCCTATGGCCCATAGCATAGGGACTGCGGAGGCTCCATTTGAGAATCTATCTTCTACACATAATCAATAATTTTGCCAACTTATGATACTGGTTTCATGTATTTATTTTCACATGTATATTGGAACAAGGGCAGAAAATGAAAATAGCGACTACTGCTATTTTATATATACAGTCATGAAAGTCTTACTGAATATCTGTACACATTGTTCTGTTGTCCATTCCTATGGAATTTCCTGTTCGACTTCGTCTTCATCATACTCATCATCACTCTCAGCATACTCGTACTGGCAATCTTCAGAGCACAGACAGAGATCAGTACAGACAAGTCCGGCTTTTTGACACTGACAACGGTTGTTAGAGCAACGGGACTTGGCGCACTTGCATCGGACAAGCTGTATAATTGCCTCTGGAGCTGGTGGAAGATTTGTCATGACTGGTACCCACTTTCCATCTTCATCTTGCCATCCATAGCCTTCTGGTGAGGGCAACACTGGGTTTGCTACATGATTGTTGTTCCAAACAAAAAGCTGGTAGTGTGCTCTCAGTATGGCTTGATGGAGAGCAGCTTGTGTGGGTGGCAACCTTTTTAGACTCAGCTTGATTTTTCTTAAAGAGGGACCATCTGAGCGCTTTGACAGTTTTGATGTCTGTCTTCAGTTGGTACATCCGACAAACCAGCTGTTCCACTCCACTTTTTGTGCTGTCATCTGGCTGTTCCCCACAACCGAGGTTAGCAAGAACTTCCAAGATAGGAGTGCTGGCGTTATCAGATTCATCCCAACAAGTGACTTTTCCCTTTCCAAAGAAACTCCCAGTAACATCTGCTCCGGTCAACGCATGAAATGCTGGCAGCGCAGCTGTCTTAGTGGGCTTAAGGGCGTCTGCTATTGACCTCAAGTTGATAACTCTACGACTACTGCCGGTCCCAGTAACAAAGCAAGAGTTGGAGCACAAATCTGGATACTGTTGGAGAGCCAAAACAAGAACATCAGTGTCAGGAGAACATATAGATAGTTGGGTAGCACCTTGATCAGAGGCATCAAGAGCATGTAAAATAATCTTCGTGTCGGCTTCTTCTTGTGTACTTCGTAAATGCCTGACGTCTCTGTGCGTTGCCTTCATTCACATTTCGTTCCCCATGCCACAACGACTTGTAACCCATTAGCATTATCCCTCACATTCTTTGCGAGAAATATAGTAAGTTTGCCCTTGGTCTTTGAATGAGCAAGAAGCTTCTTCATCGGCACCTTGGCGATGTGGGTAGAATCAGTGATGCGATAATAAATGGGAGCATGACCACCTTGTCGTTTAACTCGTGTTGCTAATTTTAGTGAGGATGGTACATCATATCTGTCGAAGATTATGTGGAGCTCTTCTAAATCATTATACTTTACAAGCAAGTGATTCGTGAAATGTTCAGCCAAGTCTCTACAGTTCTTGATCCACTCTGGCTTGTCAAGTGATTGGACTTCGGCCATTCCATCAACAATTGCGACTTTGAATCCTGCGGTGATTTCTTGTGTATTAGTACTAGGGCCACCTGCCTTCTCTAGGATATGCATAAGGGCACTCTTGCAAGAACAATGCAATATGGTACCATCTCGTGCAAACAAAGATCTTGGGACAACAGTGAACTCATATAAGCCAACAGCCTCTTGGATGTCAATTTCTGGGCGGCTCTTGCACACCATCGCCAAACGAGCAAACTTTCTGTTTTCCTTTAACTCGATGATCGTGTCTTTAGCTTTGACTTTGATGACCTTAGCACTCGTTTTCAAGGTAAGAAGATTGCACTTCTATACAGGAGCCCAGAGGTTGATCTTTCCTGTCTTGATCCTATCTTGTACAAAAGCACTGAACAGCTTCCTCCCTTCTTCACTCTGATTAACAAGATCTTTCTTTGTTTTCTCATCCATCACAACTTTTGTGACCAAGTTGTACAGATCGGTGTGGGTGTTCTGGTCTGATGAAAAGGGATTGGTGAAGGTCTTGATTGTCTCGGTCAACTTATTTATGCTGTTATCTTCGTTAGTCAAAACAGCTGAGTTTAGTTCTTGATGGTGTGCACGTTCCGGAACGAGACCTGCCATTGCCTTGGCTTCTGCTGTGAGTCGGGCTAGTTTTGGGGCAATGAGGAAAAACTTGGCTCGTGCGCTCTCATTCAAAGTGATCCCTACTTACTTAGAATGAGAGTCTTTGGACTATTGTTCTCGTTTGAAATGGAATCAAAAGCCTGTTCCAACTGTGCCATGTTGAGTATTTCCCCGCTATCGAGGGCAGCTTGGGTAAGGTTCAAAAACTCCAGCTTAGCCGCTGTCTCACTTCTTGACCTTTCCTTGTCATCTTTGATAGTTTTACGCAGGACCCCAGTCACATGCTTCGCCCAGCAGCTTTTATGATATTTAATATCAATGGCATGAGCGTCAGTGCTGTCTAGAGCCGTCGAGAGCTTCACGAGCAGTTTAGGATCCTTTGATTGCTTTACTGCATTATCAAGAGAGCTACCAGCAGATGATGTT